CGCGCGCCTGCAGGGGGCGCTCCAAGGGGCCGCGCGCCCGGCTGCCGTCGGGGCGCCCCGGCCCTTCTGTCCCCGAGACTTCTACTTGCACAGCTCTGCGTTCCTGCGGCTCGGGTCCCAGAAGAGGCCACCGGCTATCGCCTCGCAGGCCGGCACCTCCAGGCCCGCGGTGCTGCTGCAGCCGTCTCGGTCCCCGGGCAGGCCAAGAGGGCGCCCTCCGCGGAGCCCGTGGCCGGTCAGGTGGGCGCCGGACGAGGCCCGCGGGCGCAGCATGAGCCAGGACGGCGTGCCTGGGCCGGGGGGCGCCAGGGCCAGAGGCCGGAGGGCCAGCTCCATCTCCAGCCAGGACAGCGAGCGGGAGGCAGGCGCCGGGCGGAGGGTGAGGATCCGCGGTGGCCGGGCGTCCGCAGGCCCCGGCGCCGTCGCTCACCTCCGGGCCCGGGCCTCTTCCCGAGCTGCGAGGCACGACAGCGGCGCGCCAGCGGACGCCCGGCCGGCTGCACTGCGCACGCGCACCGCCCCCAGGTCCATCCAGGAGATCATCACCTCGCTGCAGTCCGAGGACCAGCTGGCCTCCGACCAGACCATCAAAGAGCTCATAGAGAGCGTCCTGGGCGAGAACTACGACATTAGGATGGAGGTAGGCGAGCGGAGGAGCGCAGCACTGCGCGTGCAGTTTCATTTCTATGTAACTTTTTTTTTTTTTTTTTAATTTAGATGATTGCCTTTATTCTCAGCATTGTAGCAATTTAGACTAAAGAAATCAGGCTACTGAAGTGAGAAATAGAATATTTGAAGGACAAGCTTTAAAAAAATCATTCTAAAACTCCGTGAATAGGATGTGCTGTAACAAAAAACCCCGTGGTGTTGTTGAACTTCTTTGTATCTTATTTGAATTTTCCTCTTATTGAAGAATGTGTCTTTTCAAAACACGACATTGAAGATTTTCCAAAAATGGGTTCAAAGAACATTAGCTGAGACCTGACTAGCATTTCCTTTCAAAGACGAGGCTATGTAGTATGGAAATAACAGGATGGGCATTTCATTTGGAAAACTCACTTACCTTCCTTGTTTGGCCTTACTTTGAATTACAGTAAAGGGGAATTTATATATTGAGATCAGTGTTATTACTATTCAGAAATTTAATTTGTAACAATTCTATATTTCCAGTGGAAATGGTTCTCTTGAAGCATTTCAAAAATTGTTTTCTGGAGCTCCAGTGGTGCAATCAGTTATTATGCTGAACTTACACAAAAAAGAATTTTCTGGACCCTTTCCAGTTAGAGAAACTTAGAGGTGCTTCTTATCATGGGATAGACATCATGTGCATTTTTATCCTATCAGCAACTACAACAGGTAGACAAATATCACTAAAAGTTTTGTTTTATGCAGGAGGCCTTTCTAGCTCCAGTAAGGCTAAAGAATTGGCACAATGTCTTACAGCTAATGCGTGGCAGAGCTAGGATTCCACCCAGGCAGTCTCACCCCAAAGACTCACTTGGAATTGCACCCAGAAACGTCTATGTGTTGGCTTCGATATGGCCCTCACAGGAAGCAATACTGGGTAGGGTCATATTTAAGTTTAAGATATTTTGTCCATTATATAGACTTTGGTGTGGACATTCAAACAAAAAAGGCAACAAGAGAGAAAGGAGAAGTGAAGGGGAGGAAGAGAAGGGAGTCTGTTTGAGAATAACAATAGGAATGACAGTAAGAACGAAGAAGGTTCTATTACTGTTCTTGGCTGTGGCTCTAAATCTCTTGTTAGAACACAGAATACCACTGCTGACATTCTGTCTTTAAAATAATTTCAGCCCCACAATACATGGTTGGCTGTGATTTAAGGAAAGCTCTCATGAAGGGAAACAAAAACGCATGTGAGCCAGAGAGTTTCTAGTGTCAACTTTGACTATGTTCATGGGCAAAGTATTACAAATATTGTGAATTAAGACTCACATCTCTCCTCAGTTACTGAATAAAATGAATCTGACCATCTGGGCCATTTAAAACTGAGGATATCTTGTTAGAGTTCTGCCAATCTAATTGAAAAAGGAAACAGGCATTCCATTAAAAGAGCCTGTTAGAAGGAGCCTTAGCAAAGAGAAGGACTCGGTCCCTTACGAATGGGCCTAACACATTATGGTACAGTTGAGGTACTTGATCTGAACAGATGCTGGTATTACAAACTGTCTTACAAGTCCTATTATATTTCAGGAGAGGGGCCCATAAGAAAGAAAACATTTTGGTTTCAAGTGGAACTAGAGTTATATGAAGGGAGGGTATCAAGTGAATAATGACTGCTGGAACAGTGAATTCTATCCTTTTATCAGAAATACTCATTTTTTCCTCTGTCCTTTCTTTGGTGTTTCTGTCACCTGATTTAAAAAGGGGTGGTGTCAGTAAGAGTTCAGATTTTCAACACTGGCCAAGAGTAAAAAGGCCAACCTTCCCATACTTCTTGTGTTGTCATTGAAGACCTTGTAGAGAACAGTAATTAAATACACTTTTTCCTTCTAAGCAGCATGGTGTCAACCTAAGCCTGGTGGTGAACAAGAACTCATATTCCCACCCAGTAGTAACCAGGAAGTCCCACTAATGTTCCCAATAGAGAATGTGAAACTTGGACCTCTACCCTCACCTGGCAGTAGTACTACAACCCCTCCATTCTGTTCTTAGAATAGTGTCAGAGAAAGCCAGCTTAAACAAGGTCTGGATTTGTATAATACCCAGAATGTCCAAGATTCAGTAGAAAAAATCATGTATCATGCCAAGAACCAAGAACACCTTAACCTGAAAGAAAAAAAGACAGTGAGGATTGGGTATTGATCAGTAGGTGGAGCACTTACCTAACATGCACAAAGTCCTAAGTTCAATACCTACTACAACAAAAAGAAAACAAAATCAATAAACAGGAATGCTAAAATTTGTGGACAAAAATCTTAACACATTACTTAGAATGCTTTAGTAAGCAATTATGAACATTTTTAAAACAAATGAGAAAATATAAAATATGGACAAAGGAGAAAGTATCAGAAGAACCAAAGGAAAGAATTCAAGCTGAAAATACAGTAAACAAAAGAAAAACTAAGTGGATTCCAAAGCTGAATGGAGTCTTTTGGCCAGAACCACCAACTTCCAGTAATTTGCCAAAATGACTAACACAAAGGGCAAGAGGAAGGGAACCCGGTATATGTTTTCCAGGCCTTTTAGAAAACATGGGGTTGTTCTTTTGGCCACATACATGTGAATCTACAAAAAGGGTGATAGTGTAGTCATCGAGGCAATGGGTACTGTGCAGAGAGAAATGCCTCACAAATGTTACCATGGCAAAACGGGAAGAATCTGCAACGTTACCCAGCATGTCGTTGGCATTGTTGTAAACAAGCAAGTTAAGGGCAAGATACTTGCCAAGAGGATTAATGTGTGTATCGAGCATATTAAACACTCAAAAAGTCATGATAGCTTCCTGAAATGTGTCAAGGAAAATGATCAGAAAAAGAAGGAAGCCAAAGAGAAAGGTATCTGGGTTCAACTGAAGCGCCAGCCGGCCCTTCCTAGAGAAGTACACTTTGTGAGGACCAATGGAAAGTAACCTGAGTTGTTGGAACCCATTCCCTATGAATTTGTGGTATAAACTGGGGACATTGCTCTGCCATTCAGTACCTAACTGGCAGCTTAAGTGTTCTAGGTCCTCTGTAAAAATAAAATCATCCTGTGTTGTAAGGGTGGTTTTCTTAGTTGAACAGATATGCGGTGCCTTCTTACCTCAGAAATATTTGCAGCAGATTTTCACTGTACCTAACAATTGTGTCTAGTCTTTACTTTTCAGGGTTTTTCTTGCTTAAAGATATTGCTGAGGTATTGTGCAGGTGTATACCCAAATATTTTAATATTTATAAAATACTTATATTGGCTTGAAGATCCTGTAAATCATCATGGGGAAAAGATGTATCAAAATAAATGAATGTCACTTTAGAAATAAGTGTAAGTCCATTTCAGTTAAATAATTTTTTTTTAATTTTTATTTATTTGTGTGTGTGTATGTGTGTGTGTGGCTAGCTTAGCCCACCAGGGGGCGGGGCTGGCTGGCATGTGGTGCTGGGGGATTGAACCGCGGTCCCTGTGCTTTGCTACGTTTGTTCTAAGTAGGTGCTTTAGAC